CTTCTCTTGCTGCAGCTTAAAGCCTGTTCCCCAATGAAATGTACGTGCGGTTATTATGTGATGAATATGTAATTGTTATTTAATTGAAGAAAAAGATATGCATTACTAGTTTTAGCCCGTGGAACCGTCCGCGCGATATTAAAAAAAAAACAAATGCAAGTAGCCTATGTGTTCTTCCAGACTATCATCTGTGCCATCATCGATCCATTCAGCCTAAGCTACAAACTCTAACAAACATCTACCTAAACTTACGCATTTATAATTGCTGAATACTGAAACGACATTAATAACAGCTTTAAAATTATGAATTCTATTAAAATAAATGACGTATGACGAATTGCAAGAGTTATAAAACTTCGCTTTAGCGAAAAGTTTGAATATCGTTTCAGTATTGTTAATGGTGAAGTAATGAGAAAACCTTACTTCTTAGTTTAAGTAATATATGTGTATTTATTTACTAACTTATAAAGCACTGGTACAAATAATTTAACAAACATAACATCTTTTGAGACTTTGTTTGAGCTATTTTGGATTACTTTTGCCACACTTAATAATAAAAGTGGACAGTTTAATTATACCTGTCTGTCCGTAGTGCGAGTCGTTGTTGACGCGAGGTCCGAAGCTGGAGAAGGAGTTAGTCTCCCCGTAGCTGGGGGTGGAGGGGCTGGACCCGTGCGGGGAGACCTTGCCCTCGCCGTAAATACCTTGAATTACAAAAAAAAAATATTAAAGACTAGCCGGTGCTCGCGACTTCGTTCGTAGGAGATTAAAAAATAATGAAAAGGTATAGCCTATGTTACTCACTAATAACTATTTTTTTTTTAATCCGCGCGAACAAAATTACGAGAAAACTAGTGAATTCATATTTCAAGTCTATAATAATAATATGAAGAGAAAAACTTTTTGTTTGATTGTAATGAAATAACTCAAAAACTACTGGGCCGATTTCAAAAATTCTTTTACCATTAAAAAGCTGCGTTTTCGGTGAGTAACATAAGCTATGTTTTATATTATTTTTTTTATTTCACGCGGACGGAGTCGCAGACGAAAGCTAGTGATTCCTAAGTTACTTAACAATTAATTCAGTAGGAACTCTCTCGAAATAGTATACGTAACCTCTAATATGTTAAAAATGTCTCTGAATATGAATTATCGTATTTAATTAATCATCACTAAAGACTACTTTAGTAATATTAAAAGAGGAAAGATTTGTATTTTTGTATGTATTGAAATAACTCAAAAACTACTGAGCCAATTTAAAATTATTTCACCATAAAAAAAGTTACGTTATCAATAACAGACTATTTTTTTTATTTCACGGAGACAAATTCGCGGGCTACAGCTAGTCTAAAACATAATTAATATAAAAAGCCACTAAAAAATAATAAAAAACTCACCAGCATTCGCATCTCTAAATAGATCAGAGCTAGAAACATTCAGACTGCTCTTCCTAACATAGATGGAATTCTCCACATACGCCATGATGCGGTGTCCTGTCTGTCCGTATATAGGGTTCAAATTCCCACTGGTATTGAAGTTGCTCTTAGCTTGCTGGAACGTACTCAATGAGGGTTGGTTCTGGTTTTGTGTTTGGTTCGGGTTCGCAGTCGAGTTCTGGTTTTGGTTCGGGGTTTGGTTTTGGTTCTGCATGGTGCGGCGTACCAGGCCGGGGGAGGCCGGCATGTGCTTCAACTCAGTTAGTTGTTTCACGGTTTCCGCTACGTTTATTCCCGCATGAGCTGGAATTATTTAGATTAATTAATTACTAAAGATACGCTTGGATTTCTGGATACAGATATCGACAATGGGTATGGATTGGAATAGGTATGGATAGGCGTCATAACGCTGAGAATGGATTTCAACACTGTGTATGGATATCAATGGGTATGAATATAAACAATGGGTATGAATATCAACAATGAGTATGGATATCAACAATGGGTATGGATATCAACAATGAGTATGGATATCAACAATGGGTAAGGATATCAACAATGGGTATATATATCAACAATGAGTATTGATATCACAATGGGTATGGATATCAACGATGGGTATGGATATCAACAATGGATATGGATATCAACAATGGGTATAAATATCAACAATGAGTATTGATATCACAATGGGTATGGATATCAACGATGGGTATGGATATCAACAATGGATATGGATATCAACAATGGATATTGATATCAACAATGGATATGGATATCAATAGGTATAGATATCTTACCAGGATTAGTGTCAGTGTCCGGCTGCAGCAGGAAGGCTGGCGGCGGCGGCAGATTGTCCGCCTCAGTCGCACACATCTGAGGGCTCATCAAGTTATTCTGCAAAATATACATACATAAGTTTAACTTAGAACCAATTTAATCATAAATTACATTATCAAGGATAAATTTAAAAAACTGTAATTGGGAAATGACCAAAAATTACAAGATATAATGAAGGTTACCATGGCAACGGTAATTTTAACCAATGGCAACAAAGATATTAAAAACAATATAAATGAGGCATAGTTGAGACATTTTTCATATATTCTTACTAAGTATCTATTGATAGCCTTAGAGCCACATGTCAATAGAATGAAATTAATTGTCAATTAAAAATTAATATTGTTAAAAAAGTATTAAAAAACATACTAATATTATAAATGTGAAAGTTTAGATAGATGGATGTTTGTTAGAGTTTGTAGCCTAAACTGCTGAACGAATCTCAATGAAATTTGGCATACATGTAGAGGATAGTCTGGAAGAACACATTGGGTACTTGGTTTTGTTTATTAATACCACGCGGACGGACTCGCAGGCAAAAGCTAGTATAGTTATAATTGGGAATAAGCACGAAAATAGTAAAATTAAAAATAGACCTGTACGTAAGGACGTTGCGGGCGAGATATCGAGGAGGAGCGCCGTACTGGGGGCGGAGGCTTCCCCAACGAACTGGACGAGCCTCGGCGCGACCACACCGCAGCTACACATATCAAAAAACCTTACAATATACATAAATATCGCCACTATAGGTCCCCACAGGGTAAGTAACATATGTCTTTAATGAAGTAAAAAAAAATATATTTGCAGGAATGGGGATGTTTCCTAATTTTTG